AGACCCACGTGGGGGGGGGTCCGCAGCCATGGGGGGGCTGGGGCATTGGGCAGGGGTGGGAGGGGCTGGGGGGCTGAGCAGCTTGGCAGAGTGAGCTTTGAATCAATTTGGACCTTTAAATTGGACCTTTAAATTGATTCGATTCAGAGTTGGAGATTTGGCCACCGAATCAGGCTGAATCTCCTCCGAATCGAATCACCACCTGAAGCTTCGCACAGACCTAGTTTTTGGTGCAGAGAGAGGATTTTAAAGTCTATGCAGGTTCTAGTACAATGAGGCCCTGATAGCTGGTAATATAACTGGACAAATAAGAACAATCACATAAGGTTGGTCTTATTCTTTTTCTTTTCAGTTTGGTTTATTTCAATTTACTTCCTTTAATAGCTTGAAAATTTGTAAGAGGTGCACAAAGTAGCTGGACACTGCTTCATTTGTCTGACTGTACTGGAATTTCACAGTACAGTTGTGAATGTATTTCATAATATTGTTTTCTAATTGTTTGGAGTACTGCTGAATAGTACATATTAAAATGGAAATGTATTAATTTATCATTACTATTATGATAATACTATTAATAGTAAGTAGGCTTTCTCTTGTTGGAAATGTGTAACTGATTTTTTTTTTTTTTAGCTAGTGTTGCTATCCACTTCTGTAGTGCTGAAGACAGTATGTTATTTGACTAAATCATATGTTACCTGATTTATCACCAGGGATCCTGTTTTTTTCTGTTTAAAAATCATAAATTCTCTGATAAAAAAATTGTAACTTCTCTGATTAAAAGATTCCAAACCTGCAATTAAAATGAAACACAACTATATAGACATAGGTATCCATTGAACACGATGTTTTATTGATATATTTACAGTTTGAAAGCAATTGGGGAGCCTACCTCACTCCCCACCCACAGCCCCCCTGGTGGGAGGCGGCAGCTGCTGTGGCAGTGGAGTGCAGAGCCCAGCTCCCTCTCCCCCATGGGCAGCACGTTCAGAGCAGACCCCATGTGGGGAGGGAGGTGGGTGCAGGCTGCCTGCTGCAGCCTCGGGCACCTCACCCTGCTCCCCTTCCCCTGGGGCTTCCATGGCCCAGCAAGTAGGACCCAGTGCAGCAGGGCAGAGTGGGGCCGGGTGGGGAAGCTTGCTGCCACTACTGTGAGCCTCATGCCACCATGGCAAGGCGATCCCTGCCCACCCAGAAACAGCAAGGGGCACAACTCCTTGCTACCTCTCCCATTGCTGCTGGGCAGGCAGGGGGCACCTCACCATGGCAGTGCAGGGCTTACGCAGCAAGGAGATTCCCTGCCTGACCCTACTCTGCCCTGCCTCACTGGGTCTCACCCACTGGGCCATGGAGGCCCCAGGGCAGGGGCAGCAGGATGGGGAGTCCGAGCCTGCAGTGGGCAGCCCATCCCCACCCCATGCACAAATCTGGGGGCTATGTGCCCCCTATGCCCCCCTAGGAGTGCGCACAGTGGGGAGGGAGCCAGCCCCACCTCCCCATACCCCCCAGCTGAGCTGCCCATGGCTCCATCCCACTCCTCACTGGGGCCCTGTGGCTGTGCATTTTGCCCCCAGGCCCCAAGCCCCATGCACTGCCCCAGCTGGGCAGCAGCTACAGCCCCAGCCCCAGCCCTGCCTAACTCCCTCCCTCCCTACAGGGGCCTCAATCCCCACCCTCCCCCAGATTTACCTGTGGGAGCTACTCCCCAGGCTGCCTAGTGCCACGTGCATATGTGAGCACACGCATGCATATAGTGCCCCCTGCCTAACCACCCTCCTCCTGCTGGAACTCTGCCAGCCTGCAGAGAGCTCTTTGCAAAAATGCAAAATCTGCGTGTCTCTGTTAAAATGAAAAACCTGCGTTTTTCTCAGCCAAAAGGGAAAATCCTTGTTTTTTCCTGTGGGAAATGGAAAACCTGGATCCTTGTTTATCATTTACTTATTTTAAGTAGGTTATTTGTAATGTTACTACTGCATCATTGCCTAAAAATATATTTTTAACTTTTATGAATTATGGTTATAATTAAGGTTATGAATTAGGGTCAATCCCAATTATAGTTATTAAAAATATCCTGACGAAGAATGCATTCCATTCAAAAGCTTGTCTAACTTTATTCCAGCTATGCAGTTAGTCCAATAAAAGATATGACCCCCAAAAATCCTTACCTCCCATAATATTCTCCTAGCACTTTTGACAAAATTAGAGGTGTTCTAGACAAATTTCTCCTTGGGAAATTCCATGAAACCTACCTAAATTTCTCCTCTTATTATATGGTGATGTAATATAGCAAGGAGGTTGCATTTTCCCAGGCTTGGCTGTGTTCTGGCAGCTGATAGTTTGCACGTAAATCTGTAAAGTGCTTTTGCATCATCTTCCTGGGTGAAAGGCTCAATAGAAATTATTGTAATTTATTTATTAACATTTTATTTTTATCAATATTTAAAGCAATTTTTAAATTCAGTGCATATTTGCCTGAAGAGTCCAACTGGTATTATTTTTAAATCTGGTCATTTGTAAGATTAGTTATGATAAACATAATTCATTCTCACCTCAGAATACTGTCTTCTAAAACCCACAATATGTTTTCTCTTTCAAATTATGAACAAATATATGCTGAGATGATGTGGATGTGTTATGCTGATTCTGCATGGTGATATAGAAATGATGCTATTTCTTTACCTCTCACCAGGATTTCATCTGTATAACAAGCTGCCTTCAGTTGTGCCTGAGAGCTGTTTATTGATATTTGTGGGACTCATCATGGGAGGAATCATCTATGGTTTAAATGATAAGTCCCCACCAGTCATGGACAGTGATGTCTTTTTCCTTTATTTACTGCCACCAATTGTTCTTGATGCAGGATATTTCATGCCCAGCCGTCCCTTTTTTGAGAACATTGGGACTATCCTTTTGTATGCTGTAGTGGGAACAATAGTGAATGTGGTTGGAATTGGCTTCTCACTGTATGGGATATGCCAAGTGAAAGCCTTTCACCTGCAGGATATATCCTTGCTCCATAATCTTTTGTTTGGCAGTCTAATTGCTGCAGTGGACCCTGTAGCAGTACTGTCTGTATTTGAAGAGATACATGTCAATGAAAAGCTTCACATTTTGGTTTTTGGAGAATCTCTCTTAAATGATGCTGTTACAGTTGTAAGTATTATCTTTTATTTTGGGCAGAGAGTATGAGGAGGTCTGATGGATTGCATGCGAGTCTGGAATGTGGGAGGCTTAAGTCAATTCCCTGTTCTGTTAAGGATTTCCTGGGTAATTTTGGGCAAGTCAATTTGGCTCAGCCTCCCAAAAGTATTTAGACATCCAACTCCCATTCATTTCAATAGCATGTGATAATCTGAGCCTTACGACTAGATTCACAAGAACTTAGGTGTTTCAGTGCCTACTTTCTAGGTGTCTGGCCCTAGAGGGACTCAGGAACCCTGACCTTAGCACCTAGACTTCCTATACAGTGCACAGGGAGAGTTAGGCATCTGGGAACAGGTTTCAAAACAACTAGCTCACTCACCATGGAGTTCCATGGAGCATCAACACACTACAGACTTCAACCTGAAGTCTTGGTGAGGGCGTTGTGTCTTCAAGTGCCACTGTCTCCACGGCTTATAGACACTTTACTCAGCCCTCCAGTGAGGTGCCTTTTTTGTTCTGGATCCACAGCTCAGAACCTTCTCCAGAAAATGTAGGTGCCTACAAGCTTTCTGTCCACACTGGAGCAGGGCTTACTCTTTTAAAGCACAACCGGAGAAGATGTGGTACTACCTTTTGATTCAATGGCTTAACACTTAGCTCTGTTGCTGAGGCTCTGGGAGACATAAAGTCATTTCCCTGTTCTGCTGAGGGGATAACCCCTCAGAAAAATATCTGAACAATCACTCCATAAGCTAGCCTGCGTGGGGACATTCTCTGCTGTTTTTGTTGAGGCATTTTCTACTGCAGTGTTTCTTAACCTTTTAAGCAGCAAGTACCCCCTAACTTCTGAAAATTTTCAAAAGTACCCCAACACTCAATTTTCCAGGGGATTTTATATTTACAGACTAATGTGTGCCATATGTGGGAAGAAGGGCTGTGTATATATGGCTGTGATATGACAGATGTCTGACCTGGTGTGGGTAGGGTTGCCACCTTTTACACCAGGGGTGCACAACTCAAGTATGTACCTGGGCTAGAGGTGATGTTGGCCAAAGTTAGGAGGGCTGAACCAAATTATTACTGGGGAATTTAAAGCACTGCGCAATTCATGGTGCACCAAATTTTTTGCCATAGTTTTGAAAGGAAAAGAGGGTGATAGAGAAAGAGGAAAAGAGGGCAAGAGAGAGAGAGAGAGAGTTGGGGTACCTGCGTACCACCTGCCTGTGTCTTACGTGCCCCCAGGGGTACACATACCACAGGTTGAGAAACTATGTTCAAGTACACAGAAAATAATTTAAGGCCCACTGGGCCAGAAGGTGGTGCGATTCTGTAGCCTAGTGGCTGGAATAATCAACCAGGAGAGAAGTACCCAGGGCTCTAGTCACAAATCTGGGGATTGTACGACTTTGAGAAATAACACCAAGTTAACTACTTTGTTTAGAAATATGCAGTAGAAATATATTTATAATCATTCATGAAGCAGCAGTACAGACTGTACGCATGTCTTGGCCACTTCATTCACATCAGTGATATTTGCCTTCATTGTGTGTTTGGAATCAATTAAATACAGGCATTACACAGTACAGGCAAATTCTTACTGCCTGTTTTCTTTCATCTTCTAAGAAGTTTCTGGGGAGATTGAGAGAGAAAGAAAATCTCTAAGGAGATCCCTTTAAGAGCACCCCACTGCATCATTCCATGAAGAACATGGGGTTTATCTGTTATGGCCCTAGACCCTAGAAAAATCTTGTGGATCCTGAGGATTTTGCCAGGGGGCAGAGCAACCCATAACCAAAACTGTGTCTTTACAGCTCCTCAGACACCTGGTAGGGCCTCCCGCATCCACTGGAGCTGTGGTATTAGGGGTGTCCCTTGGCTAGTATCTGGAGCTGAGGATAGGGGGCAGGCAGGGTGTTCATCTTTTATGGGAAATCTTTGCAGAGCCAGAGGGGAAATGATGCATCTAGGAGGCAAAATCCACTGCTAAAAACAACACTGTTTCATTATAGCATTCTGGTAGATCAGCAGAAGTATAAAAAAATATGATGTCACTGCAGTACTTGATTATGCATAGTTAATGCATTTTTTTCTCTTTCCATTTATTTTCTTCTAGGTGCTGTACAAGCTGCTTAGATCCTTCTGTGAAATGTCAACAATCAAAACTGTTGATGTTTTTGCAGGAATTGGGAAATTTTTTGTGGTTGCCATAGGAGGGGTATTGGTAGGCCTTATATTTGGGATGACTGCTGCTTTTACTACACGCTTTACCAAGAACATCCGTGTCATTGAGCCCCTCTTTGTCTTCCTGTACAGTTACCTATCTTATCTCACTGCAGAAATGTTTCATCTCTCTGGTATTGTGGCGTAAGTATGACTTTCAGTCATGCAGTTAATCCTCCTGGTTACATATGCAGAAAAGACTCAGTTATGATAAGAAGGGTTTCTATCAAGTTTGCTTAGCCTGAGCTCTATGATGAGCATCTGTGTACTAAGGGAAACAAAAAATATAAAAGCCTTTGTAATAGTTCAGGGCTATAATCACATTCCATGCATTATACAATTGCACATCAATGGTGTTATGCATTCTTCAAGTATGCTGAGATTGTGTCAGGATTTAAAAGACTGACAAGAGGTCTTAGCAGTGTACCATAGAACAGATGGCATCTGACTTTGACTTATTTGAAATCCTAAAGGATTTAAGTTGAAACAATGCATTCCAGGGTGGAGAGAATGGGGCTAGCTTGCATGTTTTATAACAGGAAATCATAAACAGTCCTGATTACTAGTGCTGGGCAGACTTCAAATGGTTCAATCAGCATCCAAATACTCTGGTGGCTATTTGAGCCTGGCTTCATGTCCTTAGTTTGGAAACCTTGTGAGATCAAACTGTCTGAGATTTCCAGTGCTTTGGAACGTTGGCAGAGCCAGAGCAGCCTTTCTAGCGCTGTTTTGTTACGTCCACTTCCACTCTGAGTCCCAGTCAAAACAGGGATATGAAAAGGTACACAAAATAGTTGATCTGCTTTGAACCCCAGAAACGTGTGGGTGTGCTTTGAGATGAGGGCAAGATGTTCATCTGGGTTGATTTTGTTCACAATGTTTTGCCCATCCTCACCAATTCCTTTACTTAGGGCTATACTCTGCTGTTACTCTGGAAGGTTGGTGTAGGCAGACAGCATTGCTTGTGGGGAGAGAGATGAGCATGCAGTGAGCTGCACGTTGCTTCCCTTTTCAAAAGACTGTAAACTTTCCTATTTTCTGTGTGCACTCCAGCATACGTGGTATGTGGCTGAGACCCAGCTACCTCCCTGGCTAACAGCCCATTGAGGCTGTGTAGCACTTGAATACACAGTAAGCAGTCCCAGAGTACCCAGAGCACAGGGTATTAGGTATCTCACTTAACTGCTGCTTAGATGATATGTGGGTAAAGAAACTCCCTATTTTGTCCTTCCTTAGAGTGTTCTGACCAAGATTTGGCTGCTTAGTGTTTTAGTGTATGTTATCTTGATCGTAGAGATCAATTCATCTATTTATATTTGCGATCAGTGGTTGTCCTAAAAACATAATTCCCCAAAAGTCATCCCACAAATGGCTCTGAGATTAACCACTTCCCCGCTACGCTTAAATTAAGAGTTAGCCATAACTCATCAGTGTGATGATGACTCTTTAATAGCTTTGACTCTAGGTAGACAGACAGGCACGTGCACACGCATGGATCTTGATTCTTTCTTGCATCATCAGGACAGATGCTTCTCATTCATACTGATGCCTCTGCCACTGAGCTTAGTGGAATGACTGTAGCTGTTACTCTATTGTTTGCTACTGTATGTGCTTCCTGTTGGACCATACATTGCTGCAATGTTGTAAGAGGGAAGGAAGGGAAAGCAAGGGCAATATTGGTAAATGATTTAGCAGTATGAGGTGGTGAACCATTCATTTCCCCAAGGGTTCATTTCTTGTTTGTTCTGCCTTTCCCATGCTAGTAGGCAACGAACTATATCCATCTAGCTTTGCCACCTTTATTTTTTAGAGGAACTTGCTTTTCTTTTGGTGTGCTTTGCCTGAATAAATTATGTGCCTTAACTTCAAGCTATGCATGAACTATTGGTGCTTTTGTTGCTTTCCCTTGATTCCCATTTGGTGTCGAATTCCTGAGCTCCTAACGGACATCACTGAGCTCCTAATGGACAGCTTGCTATACCTATGTGAGGAGGTATTGAAGTCAGTGGGCATGTCTACACGAGACATTTACTGTGCTGTTGACTCATTAGCTGTACAGTAAATTTCTCAGCATATATGTATTTACAAGTACAACCCCGATGCACGGTTTTTTTGTGCATGGCAGCACAGGTTTAGGCACTGATCTCACTGGCTGGGACATGAGGGCACTTCAGTGCGGGGGCTGCCTGCTGGCTAGCCCTGTACTGAAGCACCCTTGTGCCCCAGCCAGCCTCTTTGCAGCACACTGAGCCCAGTCGAGCAGCCCTGGGCTGTTGGCTGACCCCCCAGGCCCGCTGCCAGCTGGAGCTGCTCCAATCCGGCTCAGTGTGCTGCAGTCTGGGTGCACATGTAAATAGTGTACCTGGGAGGTTCCTAGGATCAATAAACTGTGGAGCAATAAGCTGATTTTTATTTCCTAGAATGGCTCATACATAGCAATATTTCAGCATTATTGAAAACAGCAATAAACTCCACAGTTTATTGCTGTGCATTAATGGCATATGTAGATATACTCAGTGAGACTCTATGCACCTGTGATCAGTATGTGTAGTACTCATTGTAGGATTAGGGCCCATGTTTTGAGGTCCCAGAAATCAGAACTGTGACTGACACTTGTGAATTTATCACAAGTTTCCTAATATATAAATCCTAGCTATCTGCTGTCTCTGATCCTCTTAAGGAAATGGAGTCAGTTACCACTGAGGAACACAGAGTTAAAAGATATTAAATATTTCCCTAATGACTATAAACTGATCCTAAATTACAGTGATTTCGTAACTAACTGCAATAATGATAATAGTAGTGATCAGAAGAAAATTAAATACCCACATAACAGCTTAATACAGCAGTATCAAAATAGTTAATTTTGTTAAACTAAGGCTATTCCATTGTATATAAATAGGTAACTCCTATACCCTGCTGATTTTTATTTCCTAGAATGGCAATATTTCAGCATTATTGAAAACAGCTATAGTCATGAGAATAGGTAAATTAAAACTCTATTTATAGTAGCATGAGGCTGAACAGTGAAATAAATATGCTGCATAAATCATTATGGAAGTTGAAGGCATTCAGTCTTAATGCTTCATCCTTCTAACAGTTCTACTGTACCCATTATGGAATCCATTTCCTTTTCTTTTTAATAATGGATTGTTTCAGTAACAATACAGTTGCTTAGGCAGCTAATCCCTGGATCAGCAGTCCTGTACTGAATCAATCTGTTTTATTTATAAACAGTAGATACCATAAGAACCAGAGCCAGGCAACCTTTTTCTATTTCTTAACTAATTTATTCACTGCAAAGCCCATTTTAGGTTGTTCCGAACTTACTTGGAACTTGTTTGGAATTCAATTTGAGCTGAATTCACCAAGCAGTACTGATTACAAACAATCTCTTGGGGTTGCGCTCATCTTGATTTCCTGGTGGTGCCCTTTTATCTAATAGTCCAGCAAACAGAAGGTTTACTCACGATGCAGGGGAGACAGGTTGGATGCCTTCCTCTACCTGAAGGGTTGTGAACACACATCTTGCTTTCCAGAAGAGTGCCCTAGCCACCAGATGACAGGGTATGTGCTAGCTAGTTCCTCTCAGTCTCTCTTGTTAGAAGTGTTCCATTTTATGTAAAATATTTAACTATTCTTTGAAGCAAGCAGTGCAACACAGGTGAGTGCTTTAGCAACCAAACTATAGAGTAATTTTCACCTCTCTTTCTCTGCCTCAGTAAACATTTAAGTCTTTTTCTATAAAGTGGAACATCAGCAAGAGAGATAGAAGAAAACCAGCTTCAAATAGTATAAGTGGTTAGGCCTGTGATTCTCAACCAGGGTGCTATAGCTGGAGTGCTGTGACAGCAGGAGAAGGAGATAAGAGAGATAAGCACAGGTTCCAGTAAGGAGGTAAATGCAGGCTCTTCCCTTCCAGCTGCTCCTCTTTCCCCAACTCAGAAACACAGGCTTTTCCCTGCTTCCCTGCCAGTTGCCCCTCCTCCTTCTTGGCTTCTCTTCATGCAGGTAAGCACTATAATAAATAAATTAGTTTTTGAAATGGTGTGCTGTTCAATTCTCAGAAGTTATGGTGGAGTGCCTCAAATCTAAAAAAACCCCCTGAAAACACTGGGTTAGTCTTTTTGGAGGTGAAATAAGTTTTCTATTTGAGTCTTCTTTATATTGACTGAGTGCTTTGACTACTGGGATGTTGAGTAAGAGGGAGAGACTATCACATTCTACATCATAGATTATATTCTGGTGACTCTAACCTATTTTTCCTTTTGTATCAAGCATCAGAAACTAAAACATTTCAAGGGGCGATGACAGATGTTTAGGCCCCCATTCTAATTCATGGCACTTTGCATAAAGCATCATGAGTTAGGGCACCCCCCCCTCCTCCCCCTCCCCAACAGACATCTACCTGTTGGGTGGGGGTGGGGAATAAACCTGCCTTCAGGCAAACAGTAAGATGAGGAGCCACCCCTCTCCCCAGCCCTGACTCCCTGCCCCCCTTCCCCCCACTCAGTTCTAGGGCTGTCAGCAGGGAGGGAGGAGGAGGAAGGAGGGGGAAGCCAGCAGCAGCAAGCTACTGGCTGGGGTACTGGGGGGAGCTGGGCTCAGCCCATGAGGTAGGGGGAGCGCAATCCATCCACCCCTTCAGCTCTGGCTGTGCAAAGCAGAAAATGGAAAAGGAGCATGGCAGCATGAAATTGGTAGCTTGCTTGGCCTGAGTTGGTGGGGGTGCACTGGAGCCCCCCTGTCTCATGGGTATCATCCCAGCTCTGAACTCATGAAAAATTAACCCTAGAGAACACAAGTTCCTTAAGGCGCTCTAAAGCAGAGCACCTTCATCTGATACCTCATTGAGGAGGGTTTATTTTTTGTGCCATGAGCCACTTTAAAAGCACTCTGCAGCTGTGCGTGTTTGTCACAGCATGGCTGTAGAGCACATTCAGGGGCCCAATAATGTGAAAAATATAACTTTTGTCTGTGCTTCTTGTGTGAAACTAGAGATTAATTTTGTGTCTTTGAATCTTTTTTCATATTTGTCTCTGTAAATAATATTAAAAAAAACCAAGGAAAACTTTCAGGATGAAAGAAATAGAATGTATTCCTTTTTTATTTTTTTCAGTTTAGATAGCAAAAAAAAATCAGTTCTCACATTCATAAGAAAAATGTGAGACTTCAGAGTTAAATATACAATTTGCCAAAACTACTTACAGCTCACTTGGGTTTTCTAATCCTTTTAAAACTTAATTTCAAAGTGATCATGTTTTCTATAATTCTGTTATTTGTGATACTTAATTTCCTGATTTTTTTTTTCTCAATACTAATAATATTTTACCTAATTTCAGCTGTATCCAAAGCATTTATATGGCTATTTTATTTAACTTCATTGTTTTGCATAGCTCTGGCAATAAGGATTTGTGAATTAGTCCCTCCTGTTGAGCCAGGACAGAAGGAAGAGATCAGCAGAAACTGGGACTCATTCTGTTCTCACTAGTAGTAAGGCAAAAAAGGGGTAAATGCATTGTAGTCAGTAGGTTTCTTTTTTTTTTTTTCTGAGATAAGACAGGAGGCTGGTGAGAAGGGAATTGGGTTCATTGGTTTTATATGGGTTACATAAAAATGGTCAGATTGGAGCTCTTAGCAGCAAAGCCTTGAAAACATTGACTATTTCTGCTATTGGAGGTTTTCAGTTTGGTTATTTTCAGAGAGTGCTGTTCTGTTATGCATAGTATAGATCCTTGCATATAATTCCAATACTGGTAAATAGAAAAACTGACATTTTCCAAAAGAAGGCAAAGCCCATCTACTCCAAGAACTTCTTTGTTCCCACTGAGCACTCAAAATCTGTCTCTTCGAAGACTTGTCCCTTGTCTACATGCAAAGTAAGCTAGGATATGAATTTACAGCATACCAGCTACCTGTGCATATGAAGTGCAAGGGAATTACTCCTGTTGCAGTATTGAGTAGACTATCCTATAGCATAACTAAGGTGGGGCAACTGGAGCAGTAGCCCCAGGTGCCGACTTGGAGGAGGATAGAGCAATAGCAGTGACCCCCACAGGTGTGCCATTGTACTGGCAGCATATCAGCAGCTAGAAGTTGTCACTGCCTTTGTGCATCGCAGCTTTTCCAGGTGTCCAGCTGAGTTCTTATGCTTCTGACATTACTTCTTACATATTGTGCACTGAGTGCCTCACCTACTTGCAGACCTAGCTTACTTTGTCCATGCTGAGAAGTCGATACAAGCCCTTAGTCATCTTCTGCCTCTCTACTTTAATCCCATTTTAACACCAATGCCCTCAGATGACATAAACTTGATTTACACTGATGTAAACTAGAAGAAAATCAAATCGGGTCTTCTGCTTAAGAGGGTGGCACCAAAGTAGCAGTGGAGACCAGAACTTGGAAACTTATGTTTGTCTTGCTTTCAGTAATTCAGCCTTTAGTATAAAATGTTTCTGTTCGAGTAACATAAAAAATGCAGAGCTTTGACTCCTTGATTCTTGAATTACTTTGACCTTCTGAGATTGCTAGGCTCAAATTATAGTGATTTGAAAAACTGATGAATTAGGCTAACCACATGTATTCTGTAGCTTAAAGAACCAATTATCCATGAACAATTAAAGGGCAAAAGTTTTAATTGGAGCATCATACTTCTAAAGTGACCTTGAATATGCAATAGATGAAGAAGTAAAATGTTACAGCTGTAGTGATTCTCTAATTTCCTCCAAAGTGCAGCAGCACTGTTGAAGGCCATTTCTGCATTAGTTGTATAGCCTTATGCACGTTCATTAACATCTATTTGACATCAGTTGATCTTTTTAAAGCCTTTGAGTTTATTTCAGGGGCTGGATTATTAGCTGAGCCCAGAAAATCCAGCTCAGGATGGGGATAGTATTGTAAAATGTGGTATATTTAATCACATGTGTTTCCCCACTCTTGGGCTGGCTTTGCATCAATCTCTGAGAGTTGGAAGGTGGTTTTACTGTGCTGGTTACCAGTGTTGCCTGAAGCCTAAGATAGTGGTCAGGGATCAGTTAGATTTAAAGGAGCCCTACTGCTGCCTGATGGCATGATGAGCGTGAGATGGGAATGGTGTAGGTCTGCATTTTACCAGCTACATTTCTCCCACTTCCCCACCCCCTGCTTTTCTCTCACCTATTGGTTGTTTCATGGGGGCTCTGATACCCCCTGCCATGTATTTGCATTTTCACGGACCAGCATTTTGCATATTGATTTCCATTCTATCTAGGAGAGGACACAAAGAAACAACAAACTCTCCCTGTGCCTGAAGAAGGGTGTTTATACCCCAAAGCCACATTATGTACAAGGAAATACAATAGGACCATTTCTGCTACTTATGAAACAAAAGGAAAATTAAAGTCTGTACAGGATCTATAGGGACCAGAACAAGGACTGGGCTCAGCTCCTTAGATCACTGGCTATCACTTTTTTTAGACTCAGGATACCTCTTGTTAGACTCAAGGCACCCCTCAGAAAATGGCAGATCTTAGTTTTCACTCTTTTTTTTTAATAGAGAAAAATGAGAGAGCAAATTTTCTGTTGCAAAAAGCTCAGAAAGACCATAGATCAGACTGTTTTTAACACTATGAATTCCCGTTTGAAATCTCTGGGCTTATCTTGTAAATCATGTTTGCCCGCCTAACAGTGCTAACATGGAGTGGCAGCCTGTGGCACTCTTGAAAGGATCTTAAGGTACCCTAGTTAAGAATCACTGTTTGAGAATAGTAGATGCTGCTACTCAGGTACTTACTACAAGGAAAGATCTTTTTTTCGTTATTCTGCCTTTCAAAAACAAGGTGTGTATCTTATTCCAGGGCATGTTGTATGCAAGAAAATATGGTTATTTGTTCCATTTTGTTTTCTCAGAATTATTGCCTGTGCCATGGGCATGAAACGTTATGTGGAAGCCAACATCTCTCTGAAGTCTCACACTACAGTCAAATACTTCATGAAGATGTGGAGCAGTGTTAGCGATACCCTTATCTTCATCTTTCTTGGGGTCTCTACCATTGGAGACAACCATGAGTGGAACTGGGCATATATTTGCTTCACTATTGTTTTCTGCCTGCTTTGGCGAGCACTAGGTATGGTGAAAAAACAGGTTTTTGGTTTTTTTTTTAAAGTTAACTGTATGATCCCAGACTTTATTATGTATCTCATTTAAGGGCAGGAGTGGGAGTGACACCAAAATTGAAATACTGATTTTTCTGACATTAAGAACTTAATCTTTAATTCTAACTGCCGGTTATTTTAACAATTCCCTCTGTATTCCTATTTTATTTCCTGCTTGTTTTATTACTTTCTTGTGTTTCTGGTACTTGATCTTAAGCTTATGTTTTTTGGGGGACTGAGCATCTTGAGTTTGAATTCTATTAACTTTTCTTAATGTTCTTGCATGTTTCTAGGTACAGATTGTTATAGATAAGTGTTTTATGAGTGGCTTGCATTTCTGAGCATCCAAATACTCTAGAACCGTAGTTTTCAACCTTTTTTTCATTTGCAGACCCCTAAAAATTTCAAATGGAGGTTCAGAACCCTTTGGAAATTTTGAATGGAGGTGTGAACTCCTTTGAATTGTAAGTGTGGGTATTCACATAATTTTGATTGATCATAGTCATCTTTTGCAGACCCCTTAGACAGTCTGTGGATCCCCCGGGGTCTGTAGACCACAGGTTGAAAACTGCTGCTGTAGAATATATTCAGTACCAAATTCTGTCCTAACTGAAGCAAATAAGAAGGTTAGTTGCACATGTATTGTTGCTCTTGACTAGGAAGTTGTGGACTAAATATTTTGTATACATGATTCCTTCGGCTTGCTTGAGCTAGTGGAGCTGGAAATGTAGAGGCTTTTTATATTGTAGTGGAATTCCTCGTGTTCAGTCGGGCAATCAGGCCAGTGCCTCTATATACAGCAGTTGATGTGAGATTGAAGTATTTGTGACTACAGCAATATAGATGCCTTCTGCTCTGCATGGGTGCAACAGGAAGAGATGGAATAAGAAGCTACCACTAGGTAAAGGGAGATGGGGTTCCAATAGCACAGGGACTGTTCCCTTCAGACTCCCATGAAGTCTCCAAAGACAGTTGGAGATGTGGCACATGGTTCCATCCATCTCTACACCTTCCAGCAGAGTTGGTCTGATGTCCTGCAGGAGTAAGTGCACCTTATAAAAAGGTGTCAGAATTATTGGGTAGGATTTGCCTGCCATTCTGCTTCCCTGAGGTGGGCCAGTGCTACTGAGCTGTGTCTGTGGGTGAGCTCAAAGGTAGGAAATTAATTTGATGTGCTTTCCTGACCTGCTTTGAATGTCTACATAGAATATTAGTGAGAAAATAGGTAGCAGCATTGATATAAAAATGGCCAGACATCAGTGCAAAAGCAAGGGGCCGGCCATCCTCATTTAAAAAACTAGGCGACTTTGGCATTGATGCCTACACAGTCAGATGGATTGCAAATTGGCTGAAGGGTCGTACTCAGAGGGTGGTGGTGGATGGGTCATATTTGACCTGGGGGGAAGTGGGCAGCGGAGTCCCCCAGGGGCCGGTCCTTGGGCCCGCACTGTTCAATTTCTTTATCAGCGATTTAGACGATAGGGTGAAAAGCAACCTGTTTAAATTTGCTGATGATACCAAAATTTGGGGTGAGGTGGGCACGCTAGCAGGGAGGGAAAGACTGCAGAAAGACCTGGATAGGTTGCAGGGGTGGGCTAACAAAAACAGGATGCGTTTCAATACTGACATGTGCTGTGGGGTGCTGCACTTGGGCAGTAGTAACCAGCAGCACACTTATAAGATGGGAAACTCCCTTCTTGAGAGCACAGAGGCAGAAAGGGATCTTGGAGTCATCATTGACTCCAAGATGAACATGAGCCGACAATGCGAGGTCACGGTCGGCAGGGCTAACCAAACCTTATCGTGTATCCACAGGTGCATCTCAAGTAGGGCTAAGGAGGTGATCCTCCCCCTCTACGTGACACTGGTCAGGCCACAGCTGGAGTACTGTGTCCAGTTCTGGGCACCCCACTTCAAGAGGGATGTGGCCAATATGGAGAGGGTCCAGAGGAGGGCCACCCGCATGATCAGGGGACAGCAGGGCAGACCCTACAATGAGAGGCTACGGGACCTGAACCTGTTCAGCCTTCACAAGAGAAGGCTGAGGGGAGACCTGGTGACTGTCTATAAACTCACTAGGGGGGACCAGAAGGGTTTGGGGGAGACCTTGTTTCCCCTAGCGCCCCCCCGGGATAACAAGGAATAATGGCCACAAGTTGTTGGAGAGTAGATTTAGATTAGACATCCATAAGAACTACTTCACAAGGTGGCTAAGCTCTGGAACCAACTTCCAAGGGAAGTGGTGCTGGCTCCTACCCTGGGGGGCTTTAAGAAGCGGCTTGATGCCTACCTGGCTGGGGCCAATTGAGCCCAGTTTTCCTCCTGCCCAGGCAGGGAGTCGGACTTGAAGATCTACAAGGTCCCTTCTGACCTCTTTCTATGATTCTATGATTATATGAATGGATACCCTGAATAATCATCTCAGGGTGTGGGCTAACTTTTGCCTCTTTGGAAAGAAACACCCCCCACATGGAAAAATTAGAATGATCTTGTGAGCTGGTGTCTGTGGTGGTGTTTTTGTGCTGGTTACACTGGTACCCAAAAGCAGAGGCATGAGGAAAAATTGTGAGAAGCCAGTCATGTCATAATGTTTTTGGTTATCATGTCGAAGAACATAAGTACCTAATTTTGAGCTACTGTTATATCAACATTCTTTTCAGAGGATCTCTTGAAATAACTAATATACACAGCCTGCAGCATAGGGGGACAAAGTCCTGGATCAAGACCTCAGCAACTGTAATTTCTCCTGTAGGCACAGCTGTGAAATGTTAATGGGAAAATGATACCCTAAAAACAAAGCAGAATTGGAAATTTGATTCACTTGGGAGCTAGGGATCAAAATGGTCAAGTTAGTGACCACTGAATAACTACCAGCTACTGAATGAGTCTCATGATGCTGATCTGGAAGCGCAACAATTGTTCCCCTCCCCATATCTTATATTTTTTAAGTAGCGGGCTAGAATTCTCCTTTTCTCAACAACAATTGAATAGTCCCGCCCTTGCTTTCCAAAGCTTTCTTCCCTGCCATAAAGGTATGCCACCTTTACTGCAGCCCCAGAGGGCTTGTCCCCATGAGCGGGAACGTGCATTTTGCCAGGGACAAACAGCAGCAGCACTATATGGGCCGCTGCTACTTGTCCCCGGGGAATGCCTGTGCATGTGTGCTAGCACCTGGGCAGCCTTACATGAGATCCTGGGGGCCTCCAAGAGCTGCAGCCATGGTGATCCAGCAGCAGGGAGCCTGGCCAGTACCTGGCCAGCTGGCTCCAGCTGGCCAGGCTCTGGTTTTGGGCAGTGCATGCTGCTGTCATTTGCGCTGCCCTGCTTTTTTTAGGTGTGGGCTTTTTTTTTAACAGTGGGATCTCCCAGTGTCAAACCCCTCCCTGTGCTGCAGATTAGCAATGTGGGGAATGCCTGCATGTGTGGCATGTGCAGTGTGTGGCACCGCATACTGCATGTACGTGCTTGTCTGGACACACCCAGGGATTGGAAATAGCCTTAAAAGTGTTGTGGAATTATATCAATTGAAACAAACCATCCTTGTGCTCTGCCTTAGTTCCATTGGACAGAATGCTTTTTATTGGAGAGATTTTTGCTTCTTGATGTGGCCTTAGTTTGCTTCATAAAAGCCTCTTGACCACCTATGGGATACTTTCACTGTAGTTGTGAATAAAACAAAACCCATGGCAAGATACTAGGGGTGCACTGATAGAGATTTTTTGGGCCTATACCGATGGCTGATTTTTAATGAGTCATATCGGTCAATACTGATCTGATTGCAGATATGTGGCCGAGCAGCTTGGAGAGCAGCATCTGACTGGTAAATCTGTTGTGGGGGAAGGAGCAGGGGGAGGGAAAGGGTGTGGGGAGGGTAGATTGAGGCCCCTGCAGTGATGGAGGAAGTGGGGCTAGCACTGAGGCAGGGGTAGGTGCTGCCCAGCTGGAGTGGGGCACAGGCCGGAGCCATGAGTGGCTCCTCTGGGGGGCATGGGGAGTGGGGAGCAGCTCCTGCTGCTACGTGCACCCTGGGAGGGTATGGGGTTGTGTGCCTCCTGGATCTGCACATGGGGCGAGGGCAGGCTGCCACTGTGGGCTGGGGCTGGAGCTGCACTGGGCTCTTCCCAGTGGGGGGCTGAGCCGAGCTGTGCTCAGGGTAGGTGGCAGCAGCACTGAGAGGGAGACTATGGGGGGGCTGCAGCCACCCCAGAATTTGCCGTAGCCCAACTCCCAGCATTGCCATTGCCTGCCCTGTGCTCAGCCCAGGCCAACCCACCCACCCCCTGCCAGGAAGAGCCTGGCTCAGCCCTGGCCCCAGCCCACAGCAGCAGCCTGCCCTTGCCCCATGTGCAGATCCAGGGGCACATGGCCCCCATGCTTCCTGGCATGTGCGTAGCAGCGTGAGCCACCCCCTCCTCCCTGCATCCACTGGACAAACTGCTCGTGGCTCCATCCCATGGCCTGCCCTGCCTCAGCTGTGCAGCACCTGCCCCTGCCCCAGCCCTATTCACTCCCTCACTGTGGGGGCCTCAATCTGCCCCCCTGGTCCCAGTATAATTTTACATCCCACTCATTTAATGGTATGATGGGATTTGGTCCATGATTCCAACAATTGCACCTCCTGCCATGCCACATGTTTGTGGCAGGATGCACAATTTTGGGATTGGGGATCAGATTCCAGTCATGCCATTGCTACTTGCCAGTGCTACTGACAAGTGGAAAGCTGGGTGCCTGCATTCTGGTGTGAACTGGTGTGGTCCCAGGGCTGAGAGTGTTAATCAGCTGGGGCCACACTGGAGCCAGCTTGAGACTCAGAAAAACATGATCAGAGCAGGAAAGTAACATTTTACATCCATACTGCATGCTTACATTGCACAGATTGACAATGATCATCAGTCTCAGCCTAGGGACTAAACCAGAGCTGGTGCAGTCCTAGGGCTGGGGCCTGTAATCAGCTGATTGTGGGTCTCAGCAC